AACATTGCATGGTTGACCCAGTGGGTCCATCCAAATTCCAAAAAGGGCATTAAATTGCTCCTGCTCATGTCCCTTGCCACGTGTTTTCTTTCTTGTATACACCTGTATGTTCTTATCATTACTTCCCCCTTGGTAAAACGACTTGTCCTCAAGGCGAAAACGAGGGAATTGCTCAGCTAACAGATCATATGACTCCCAAGTAGCTTCTTCTTATAGGACGCTGAGCCCAAGAAACCAATAATTCTAGCACGGGTTGGCCTGCTTCCAGCACCCAGCGATGATCAACAATTGAAGCAGGCTGAACATCAATCTCCCAATCCCTTGTGATTGGTAATGGGGCAATTGAGGTCGGAGAAAAAGACCCATGGGGTGGTTTGAGCATGGAGACATGAAACACCTGATAAATTTTAGCATCCGGAGGTAATTCAAGCTCATAAGCCACAGGTCCAATGGCACGTTTGATCCGATAAGGACCAAAGAATAAAGGGGACAACTTTTCATAACGACGGTTAGCCAAGCTTTGCTGTCGATACGGTTGAAGTTTTAAAAAAGCATACTCCCCAACCTGAAAAGTTACTTCTCGTCGTTTTGTATTAGCTTGATTACGCATCCGATCTTGAGCTTTTGTAAGATTGAGGCATAGGAGCTTTAACATGTCATCACGATCGATTAATTGTTGTTCCAATTCTGCGTTTTTGGTTTCTCCCATTACATAAGGCAGAAGGGAGGGAGGATCTCGGCCATAAACGATGGAAAAAGTAGTGCCCGTAGAAGTATGATACCCGGTGTTGTAAGAATATTCAACCCACGCTAAATAGGAACTCAACGTAAATAGGCCTCTAAATAGCGATTGAGAACTTCTGTCTGACCATCCGTCTGTGGATGGTAACTGGTGCTTAATTGCAGTTTGGTTTGGCTCAAACGAAATAGTTCCTGCCAAAAAGTGCTCAAAAAGATGACGTCACGATCCGAAACAATGGAGCGAGGGAAGCCGTGTAGACGAACAACTTCTTTACAAAAAATGGCAGCCACACTCTTAGCTGTAAAAGGGTGAGATAAACACAGAAAATGGGCATATTTGCTCAAGCGATCCACGACTACCAAGATAGTGTCAAACCTGTTAGATGGCGGTAATCCCACAATAAAATCCACGGAAATGTCCTCCCATATTTGAACCGGAATTGGCAACGATTGGAGGAGACCAGCCTGAGATAATGTTTGGTACTTTTGCTGCTGGCAAACTAAACAGTTCTGCACAAACACCCTGATTTCTTGTTTCATTTTTGGCCAAAAAAATTAGAGAGACGCGTTTAAGGGTTTTTAAAAAACCACCATGTCCACCAACTGGTGAGTCGTGACACTCTTGAAGTAATCTAAGTTTATGATCGGGTATATCAGGGATGATCATCCTACCTTTGAAAAACAAAAGTTGGTCAAGCGAAGAAAAATCAGGAACCGATGAAGGATTTGTGTGGAGCTGTTGGAGAATATCCACTGTATAAGAATCTTGTTGAAGGCCCCTTTGTATGTCAGTGATTTCGACGCAATATGGTACGGACAAAGTCAATAATTCGCCTGAATGGGGACGCCGAGAGAGTGCGTCCGCTCCCTTATTCTCTTTTCCAGCCCTGTGAGTTATCGAAAAATCATAAGGCATCAATTTAAGTAAAAGCCGCTG